AGATCTGGCCCACGGGGCTGCACTGGAAACAGCAAAGGACTGGCCCACGGTGCCTCTGCCAGAGAAAACGGAGCTCAGGAGGGCCACCACAGGCACTCAGGAATCCGTTTTTGCCGGCAGAGCCCTCAGGCCACCACAGGCACCCTAGACCCAAGTGACGTTGAGATGGCCAAGTCAAACACAACCCTAATGTGGCTGTCAGCTTTGAAATTCATCTGCCACATTTTTTTTAGAGAGAGAGTTAAAGGAGTTGAAAAGTTCAAGGTTATTCTGTATGTCGTATTAAGAATTTCCAGTTGCAGTTAATTGGTTCTCGTGATTTATGAAGTGTAGAAGTGGGAGGAGAGAAGGGAGGAGAGAAGGGAGGAGAGAAGGTGGATTCTGCATAACAAGCGAAAAAACTTTCACTTGGGAAATTGCTTTTGACATGCCAGATCTGTTTCTAATAAATCAATTGGAGAGATAACGTCTTGGAGTGATTGATATCATGGATACTTTCTGGATGCTTTACATTGGCCCTCAATGAAATTGAGTTTGACACCTCTGCTCTAGTGCAAACTTTATAAATCATCAGATGGAGTCTAAGGCTTCATAAATTTTCAATTGTTGGAAGAAATATCCTTCTGGGTTCAGTCCCAAGTGGGGAAGAAAGATACTGGAAACATGGAGGCTGTTTGGAAAGATGGTTTAATGGTGGACAGGACCACATGGCTTGGAGCTCCAAAGTGAAAAGGATGATCACATGCTTCAAGATGTTGGGTGAAGGAAAAGAAGGAAGGGTCTGATATGCTGAGAGACCCTTAATTTTATAACCTCTGTTGGGCCCCACCTTAGTGTTTCCTGTTCCTGTGTAAGAAATGTACCCCATTGGCTGTCAGACTCCCAGGGAGCGGGGGTCTTAGCTAACTTTGTAGGCTTCCCAGGCCAGGTGGTGAGATGGGTAGAGGCCTTTGTTATGTAGAATACTCTAGCCCAGGCCTTAATGGCCTGCACATTAACAAAGGTGTGGGGGGGTGAGTTTCTGCCTCTCTGAGTTTCTACTACCCTTTTAGAGGAAATATTCTGCCTTTTTAATATTTCCTAGGATATTTCATTCTTCTAGGAGAGGGATAGGTGCTAACTTCCTGCACTTTAAGATACAGTGACTTGGACATCAATGGATGCTTCGTGGAATTAAAGTTTGAATGTTGATATTTGGTGAATAGGAATCAAAATAGCTCCTGAATATGGAACAGCTGAGATGGACTTTCTGTCCTTACTTTGACCAGTCGGAATATCAAGCAGGTAATCCAAACGTTTAACATGAAGCTTTATTTGATTTTAAGACATCATTCAGCTGTATACATTAGAAATGACAATGTCTATATCACAAAATGACAATAAAATGAATAATTTAAACATATTCATTTTAATTTTGGCCCATAAAGCATATATATGTTAATATAAATACCTGCTTTTTAAAAAAATTAACTGCATATTCAACAAGGAAACAAAGCAAATAAGGAAAAAAGAAAGAAAAATAGAGCAGAGGAGCACTACTCTTGCAACAAAGGGAATCTCTCTGGGTGTCATGCTTTAATCATTAGCCATTCCAAGTCATTTAGAAATGCTTCTTGTTTCAGTGTGGATACAGATTTTAAAAAAACAAAACCAAACACCTATATATGAGCATTGAAGAGTGGCACTTGAAAGATCTCCAAGGGGGAATTGCAAAAACCCAACAAGATGCTTCTGCTAACCCCTTTATCACAAGAGAAAAGCAATCACGAAATCCCTTTTTCCTTACATAATCTTAGCGACACGTCTTCGTCAGGCTCACATCAAACAAATCCCAACTGAGCAAGTGAGAATTTGGAATAAATCAAAAGACTGGAGTGTGATACATGATGGATCAAAGGAGGTTGGGTTTTTTTACCACTAGAAAGCAATGTTTGGAATTATCTAAAGAGCTTGGTGTCACCAGAACGATTGAAATGCAAGGTGCAGCTTGATTTCTCCCTTATGAAAAGATTTGGTCAGCTCCTTTTTCCACACTGTTGTATAAATTACATTTTTTACTTTTTGCAGTCGCCATCTCTCGCAGCCAAGCACATGTGGCCACTAAGCCGGCGGTCCCCAACCTTTCTGGCACCAGTTTCGTAGAAGACAATGTTTTCCACGGACTGGGGGCAGGCGGGGTTTTTTCACTGAGATCCCATTTAGACAGAGATGGAGCTTTGCTTGCTTGCCTGCCACTTGTGAGAGGCTCAGTTCCTAACAGGCCACCAACCAGGACCGGTCCGTGGGCCAGAGGATGGGGGAACCCTGCACTAAGCAGACCGACAGATGCAAAATTGTATAGGCTGCAATCTTGGCTGCTAGTTCACTGTATCAGATGTCTACGCGCATCTGATGCGGTGCGCTGTAATCCCCCGAAGATTATGCAGGAATAAACATGCTCCCTTTTTAAAGAGTGCCACAAGAGTCCTGGGTTTTAATCATTTTGTCCAGCCTTCCTCTTATAGAAACAGCAGGATAGTTTACAGGCATCATTATGGATCTATTAAATAGTAAAAGCTAGAAGCAGGCAATTAACAGAAGAAGAAGAAGAAGAAAAAAAGAAACATCTTACCGAGAACAATAATACTGAATCATGATCCAAATAATGCTAGTTGTTTGGATAGCTATATTTTATAACATCTCTTGGAACTGATTATATTTTTTAGGTTCTTTTGCTCCGGATAGGAACACAGTTCGGGGTATCTTCTTGGAGGAGCGTTGCTCAATCGTGGCACTTTAAGATGGCTGGACTTCTGTCTCAGAAATCCCCAACCAGCTATGCTATCTTATCCTGGCTGGGGAATTCTGGGAGTTGAAGTCCACCCACCTTAAAGTGGCCATGGTTGGAAAACTCTGCCTTAGATCACGGAGAGAATGTGACAATTTACAATACTTTCCCATTGGCTTCATTGGAGGATGTAGCAACCATTTTTCATGGGTTCTTCACAGCTGCCAAGCTACCCTTTCGCTTAAACAAGGGGGGAAAGTTCTTTTCAAAGCATCTTTTTAAAGGTATGCAAGAAACCCCACGGCCAAAGCAGAGGAAAAGACACGTTAGAGCTATTTTAAATTAAACAGTTGATTTCCTTTCATTAAAGGACTGTAAGCGTCTTCATTCTGTTAAGAGATGCATCGTGTATCCAAGTAGTAGTACATTCAGAGCTTCTTTGTTCGGCTAACATGAACTGGACTACGTACAGTTTGTGGTATGAATTGGACTGTAGGAATTGAATTACATACAGTTCGTTGCCAACTAGCGTGACCAGTAGACATATTTACTGCAGACAATGAGGGCAAGAATACACAGTTGGAGAAGGACGGTGTATTGTCAGGACGACTACATCAAATCAAATATCATTTGATTTTAATACTAAATAATATGCAATCTTCAAAAAAAAAAAACAGTTGTATTTAAGACAGCTTTAATTCTACAATCAATTCCACTAAAACCAAGTGCAGATGGAGGGATTTTACATTCTTTGGGAGGGGGGTTATTGGGAGCTTTTTAGCTACGCTTTTAAAGGAAGATTGCCTACTGATAATGAGCTTGTTCTGACATGCACAACTGCGGGACTGTTGAGGACATCCTAGAGCAGAGACAGGGGTGGTATTCTACTGGTTCGGCCCAGTTCAGCTGACCCGGTAGCTCTGAGGATCATCTGTGAGCGAACCGGTTTGCTCCAACAATCAGCTGCTGGGCCCGCCTGCCTGCCCGGGCTCTATTCTGACCTTTATTTCCTGGTTTTCAAGCTCAGCTGCTTCGCGTGGCACAGTGGATTGCCGTGCGTCAGCTGTTGAACACACAGGATGAGTGCAAGATTGCAGGAGAAGGTCAGTAGCAAACCCTCTGCGCAAAGCACGCCCACCAAGCCACGCCCACAGAACCCATGGTAAAAAAAAGTGGAATCCCACCACGGAGCAGAGGTCTCCAACCTTGGCAACTTTAAGACTTGTGGACTTCAACTCCCAGAATTCCTCAGCCGGCTTTGCTGAGGAATTCTGGGAGTTGAAGTCCGCAAGTCTTAAAGTTGCCAAGGTTGGAGACCTCTGTCCTAGAGCAGGGGTCGCCAACCTTTTGGACGTCAGGGACCACCAAACTCATAATTTTAAATCCCGCGGACCAGAGACCCTGGGAAAATCCCCAAAAAAGTCTGCAGGAAAATCCCCCACCCCATTTTCCTACCAATCGGTCGTTCTTTATTTGGGATCGCAGGATACCATCTCCAGCTCTGTTCTCAGGGGGAGAGAGAGAGAGAGACTTTTGGCTTCATGCAAGGAAAGCAGCAGAAGTCTTTCTCTCCCCCCCAAACTCTGCCAGAAATGAGACTTTGCGGGGGTGACATTTCTCTGTGCACCACCAAAATTTTCTCACGGACCACCATGATCCCTAGCCCACGGGTTGGCAACCACTGTCCTAGAGCATTCCCTCAAATCATAGACAGCATCTAGGAAGTTCAATGTACAATATTCAGCACAGCTAGTGACCTGTTTATGAGCTGAAGGGATGCTTTAGACCAGGTAAATAAGCTGCCCAATTTTTTCCTGGCCAGTTTTACATTCTACATCAGAGTTCCTGACATGCAGTATGTCAGATGGACCTCTGTACGTCTAGAGGCAAAACCCGTTGGCTCCTGCATCGCACTTTTTGCGTCTGACTCTGCCCCATGGTTGGTAGATCTCGTGCTTTCCATAGATCTAGCACCCATAACTCCAAGGCAGCGGTGGGATTCAAATATTTTTACTACCGGTTCTGTGGGCGTGGCTTGGTGGGCATGGCAGGGGAAGGATATGTAAAATCTCCAGTCAGAGGGTGGTATTTGCTGGTTCTCCGACCTACTCAAAATTTCTGCTACCGGTTCTCCAGAACTGGTCAGAACCTGCTGAATTACCACCTCTGCTCCAAGGCCTCCCAGTCCAGCTTTTCCCAACCAGGTTGTTTTCCAAATGTGTTGGACTCAAAATGTCCAAAGGCCACATTTGCCTTTGGATTATGGGAACTAGAGTTCAACTCATCTGAAGGGCACTACAATTTGGAAAAATTGCAGGCTAGAACAAACATTCACATCTTGAATGAACATTTAAAGTGTTTTCTGCCATAGAAAAAGGACTGCACTAAAGTAAAATTACATTTATCCAGTAATGAATTTGGCCATCATTCAAAGAAAAATACTACTTTCATTACAAGGGAAAGGTTTGGGACAGAAGCTCCCCACCCCCATGAAGAAACATACAAACAACACATACAGCAGCATCAAAATTCAAGACTCGGTGTGTTTCTCAAGAAGTACCATCTCCAGTTCTCTCTTTGCGAGCTTTGATCATCTCCTTCGCTGTTTGCTTCCTCTCAGTGACCAAACCCAACCAAAACATCAAGTCAATGAACCATGTGGTTGGGTTGAATTTCAAGCCAAGCTCGCTGGCTGAATAATCAAATGGAAAGGTATGGTGGTAATTATGGAAACCTTCTCCTGGAAAACAGAACCCAGAAGAAATGACAAGTATAGCATCAACAAGCAGAGGCAGTAGACATTTTCATGGAGAAACAGCTATCGTTTTCATTGTTTTGACCAACAAAAGGATTTTAAAAGCTACGTCCCGTAATTATACAGTTTGGACAGGGTGTCCAAAATGAAATGTTCCAACCAGCCAATGTCCTGATTTCTTGTTCCCTTTGCTTCTATTTTCCACTTATGTTGGTTGATTATATTTTATACTCTCAAAATGGGAACGACAGCCGCCATCTTCTTTTTCATCACAACCTATGGACATCCCTGACTCTAAAGCACCATTAAAGCAGCCTGGAGAAAAACAACTTCAAGGCTCCCCTTCCCAAAACTAGATGAACTGATCAGAGGTGGTATTCAACAGGTTCTGAACAGTTCTGGAGAACCGGTAGGGGAAATTTTGAGTAGTTCGGAGAACCAGCAAATGCCACCTCTGACTGGCCCCGCCCCCATCTATTCTCTGCCTCCCGAGTTCCAGCTGATTGGCTGGGTCTTCTTTTGTTGCCCTGCACAGGAGAACAGAGCTGGAAAGCAGGTCAGTGGGTGTGGGGAGGGAATGGGGATTTTGCAGTATCCTTCCCCTGCCACGCTCACCAAACCACACCCACCAAGCCACACCCATAGTACCAGTAGTAAAAAAAAGATTGAATCCCATCACTGGAACCAATTCTTGGCAACTTACCAATAGCTCCAAAAGTGACAAAGCTATTCTGCCGAGGGTTGATGCTTTTGTCATAGGGCCTGTTTCCATACATGTGAGCAGCGCTATTGACTAGCCAACTAACGTTGAGGGCAATGGTGTAGCGGAGAATAGAAGCCAAGAAGTATGAATTCCATATGCTCTCGCCCCAGAAATACCAAGGCACAACAGTAGGAATGACAAAACACATCAACACAACCGAACTTTTATAGTACCTGTGAAGAAAGAAAGAAAAACACAGGGGTGACCGGGCCATACAAAACAATATTTCCTGGAACCGTGATTCCAGAGGAGTCAAGTGAGCAGGAAAGATAACTATGTTGTCAATATATGGTAATCAAAGGCCTGGAGACTGAACCATGCTGTTTTGGCCCACCCGGGCTCTTACCTTAACTTTTATTTCCTGCTTTTTCAACCACAGCTGCTTTGCGCGACACAGCTGCGGTTGAAAAAGCAGGAAAAAAGGGCTTTTCCAACCGCTGTGCACTTGCACGCAGCGCTGCTCAGCTGTCCAGCCAGCTCAGCAGGTCGTAAATTGCACTTGCGTGATGCAGAGCAACAGAACCGGTAATTATACCGGTCAGATCCCATCCCTGGTTTTAGGTTGCCGAACCCTGGGCAAGTCTAAAGAAAAGAAGAATTAGGGGTGACATGATAGCCGTATTCCAGTATTTGAAGGGCTGCCACAAAGAAGGGGGGGGGTCAACTTATTTTCCAAAGCATCAGAGGGGCAGGATAAGAAGCAACGGGTGGAAACTCATCAAGGAGAGAAGCAACCTGGAATTGGGGAGAAACTTCCTAAGAGTGAGAACAATTAATGAGTGGAACAGCTTTGCCTTCAGATGTTGTGGGTGCTCCATCACTGGAGGGTTTTAAGAAGAGATTGGACTTGTCTGGAATGGTATAGGGTCTCCTGCTTGAGCAGTGGGCTGGACTAGAAGACCTCCAAGGTCCCTTCCAAAGTCTATTTTGATTCAAACCTCTACCCTAGCCTGCTGCCATCTTCGCAATTCGCGCGAGCATTTCCTTTACACCTGTAAACTTTTGATTATTATAATATCTTTAGTTTCAAGGTATAGAATGTGAAGGATGTGTGTTTGTGTTTATTTTCATAGTCATCATGTACACTGAAGATGGTCTTTAATTTCGTTGTAGGAGGTGCAATGACAATAAATTAAACTAAACTAAACTAGTTGATTTCCCTTATCTCTGCTCACCAGGAAGTAAAAAAGAATAGTCTAACCTCTAGCTGGAAAAAAAAAAGAGACGTTTTTCAGTTAACACTCCTAGATAAAATGTTTCAGCTAGGGAATCTATTAAAACGTCTGTCTTTCGCCTCCTCTACCACCTTAAAATATTTATCTTTCTACAAGATGCCATGAAGATGCCTTATCATTCAGTGTGCGTGGGGAGAGCACAATAGTGTCTGTTCCTTTGTTTGGAACAATTCCTCTTGAAGTAATTGTAACTTTGTCAAGATTTCTTTCTTGTTAATGCAGAAGCTTGGAAAATATTATGCCCTACTCCCCCAAGAGATAAACATTCTGCTGAAGTTTCTCACAACTGATCATGTTCCCCTTCCTTCCGCTGTGAACATGTTTTCTTTCTTTTTAATGGGAACAAAGGAGCTTTCCTTCTGGCTAAAAAGAAATATGACCAATTCCCATGGCGTAGCAAAATTGCAGCATAAGCATTCATGGCTTGTTTGCTAAAAAAATGTATTGATCTTTACACTGTTGTAAGGTGTCTCATTCAAGCAAGGGAGAAATAAGGCTCTCTTGCTGGAAATTCCTCGTTCTCTTTTGGTCCATCAAAGTAGGTCTTCAAGTCAAAGTTAGTCAGCCATTGGAATCATTCGTTGGGCAGAAGAATAGATTAAATCAGGGGTGTCAAATACAAGGGGTTGATCTGCGTGGCTTCAGCCCGGTCTTCTGATGACCCGGGGCGTGGCACAAAGACAACGCAGTCAGATAATCAGTAAGAGTCCCTTTATTAGCTCCAACTTTGCCCCCAATGTCCTGGTTAGCTTCAGATCCGGAGAAAAACTCTCCCGGGAACAGCCTTTGGCTGCAGAGAATCAAGTCCAAAACGTGGTCAACAAAAACCATAAGTCCAATCAAGGCAAGATAAGGTAATGAGTCCAGCAGGGCAAGAGAAGGAATTCCAGACATGAAGGAATGGCAGTAATTCAATCCAGTTGGGAAGATGCCGGAAATGCAGATAACCAAAGTCAACACAAGATAAACTCACGTTTGTTCCCAGCAGCCGCTGCTGCTCTCACCTTGCATCTCTTTTAAACTCTTTTCCCAGGTGTGGCTAATGAAGGGAATCAGGGCCCTTTCCTCCCCTGTAAGCCATGCAACTCATGTTGCTCCCTTCTCCGTTCCTCCCTGCATGCCCTAGGATGAAGAGGGGGTGGGCCTGGGTCTTCCTCTGAACTCCCTCTCCCTTGTTCTACCTCTCTCCTGGTCTGCCCAGCTGGACTGTGCTCTTCCCCAGGTTCCTCCATAGTCAATGGAGCCACACTCCCACTCCCTGTCAGCTGTTTGTCTTCCTCCTTGGATTCAGACTCCGACAGGGGCATGACAGGTCTACCCAGTGCAAAGAGGAAACATTGGGCCAGCAGTTTGGGGAGTGGTGACAAGCTGGCCATGCCCACCCAGTCAGCAACACCCGCCCAGTCAGCCACGTCCCCCCCAGGCCTCCCGAGGTCAACCACAGCCCTGCTTTGACCCTCAATGAAACTGAGTTTGACACCCCTGGATTAAATCACTGTTTCTCCATCTTGGCAAGTTTAAGATGGGTGGACTTCAATTCCTAGAATTCTCCTTTCAGCATGCTTCTCAAAATGGAGAAACCTCAGAGATAACCAGTATCCCCTCCTTGTCCAATTTTGCTTTCTCCATTTTTCTGGACCATCTTGCTTTCCATAAATTCTTTGGACCCTGGTTCAAATCCACTCTCAGCCACTGAAGCTCCCTCTTTCAGCCCACTTAGACTACTTCACGGGGTTGTGGTGAAAATATGAGACATAAATGTATCCAAGAAACCAATAAAAGGGCAGTTTTGGGTTGTTTAAGTCTTAACGGAGATGGGATTAATAATAGAAGCATTGTGCAACTCACCTTGTTCGAAGAGAGATCTGTTTGAGCCCAACCCTTCTAAAAGCATCTTTTTAATATTTTAAACCCATTTTTAATGCTTTAAATGTTTGTATGGGGTTTTTTTCTCTTCCATGCTGGGATATTCAATATTCTTAAGAGCTGCTTTTCAGCCTGACTGGTGGTTTCTTTTGTTATCCCATTCTATTCACTTCATTCTTTCCTTTCCTTTTCTTTTGAAGTAGGAGATGAGAAATAAAGCAGGAATTGTGACTAAATTAAGTCGTTCCCAGCAGTATTAGTGACTGATTATTTCAGTCAGAGATCAATGCACCTGTAAGGTCCTTAGAATTAGAAATCTTTCCCAAAAAAATTCAGCAAGCCAACTATCACCATAGTTTTTCAGACTGGCTAATAATCATAGACAAAGTCATTTCTTTATGCAGGAATTGATCCCAATCCCCAAATTGGGATTTCTTATTATTTATAAGAGAGTGTTGTATACTTTTTCATGAATGTGAGATTGTTCTTTCACCTTTCCAGCAGCTTTATGCTCAACTCAGTGCAGTAATTAATGTATCATGGCTGCCATAACAATCCTATCAATAACATTGTTTGTTAAATTCATAAGTCCTGCACCTCTGAAAAATCACTAATATAACTATGCAAGCACTTAGTTGGAAAATGCTAATTATGATAGAGTCATAGAGTTGGAAGGGACCCTGAGGGTCATCTAGAGGAGCGGTCACCAACTGGTGGTCCTTGAGAAAAATTTGGTGGTCCGCAGAAAAATTATTTGCATTTTTTATATTGCACTAAATCAGGGGTCCCCTGGGCTGGATACATGCAATGAACGTTTGCGTTGCTGCACAGAGCCTCCCCCTTTGGGGTCTTTTTGTGTGGGTCAGAGGGGGGTAGAAATTCCGACTTGGGGTCTGCTTCAGCCTCCTTGGTGTGGGGCTTTGGGCGAAGGCGGGAGGAAAATGCCGCTGGTGGCAAAGAGCCGGAGGGCCTCGTTCCAGTGGGACTGCATCATGGCCTGGATTTGATTGACCATCTCAGCCTCCAGGCGCCGCTACCTGGCCTTGGACTCCCACAGCTCTTCCCTCTGCTTGGAAAGCCTATGCTTGTAGTCCTCAGTGAGGTGCTTCTGCTGAACCTCCTTCTCGGTCAGATCCAATTTGAACTGAGCCAGCTGTTTTGTCAACTCTTTTCTCATGGTGGCTGCTTAGCTCCAACAACTGCTTCCTGTTGGGGCCCTAAGGAGCTGGCCGTGCTCACTCACATCAGAGGTGGTATTCACCAGGTTCTGACCAGTTCTGAGAACCGGTAGGGGAAATTTTGAGTAGTTCGGAGAACCAGCAAATACCCCCTCTGCCTGGCCCCGCCCCCATCTATTCTCTGCCTCCCATTGAGTCCCAGTTGATTGGCTTGGTCTTCTTTGGTTGCCCTGCACAGGAAAACGGAGCTGGAAAGCAGGTTAGTGGGGTGGGGGAGGGAATGGAGATTTTGCAGTATCCTTCCCTCGCCACACCCACCAAGCCACGCCCACAGAACCGATAGTAAAAAAAATTGAATCCCACCACTGACCCACATGACTATCCAGCCATGCCTACCCAGCCGGTCATTAGGCAGATCGTATTAGTGGTCAGTGGGATTTATAATTATGAATTTAGTGGTCCCTGAGATCCAAAAGGTTTATGACCCCTGATCTAGAGTATGTTTCTGCACCTTGAGAAGTTTAAGATGGGTGGACTTCAACTCCCAGAATTCCTTAGCCAGCTTTGCTTTGCTGGCTAGGGAATTCTGGGAGTTGAAGTCCACCCATCTTAAACTTGCCAAGGTGGAGAAACACTCATCTAATCCAATCTTCTGCCCCATTACAATCCCAATAGTTGGCTCACTTTGACTTGAAGGCCTGCCATGATGGACCACCAGTGTATCTCCAGCCTTACTCATGTTTACCGTTATCACTCACTTTCTCTGAAAAAGCACCACCGGATCCTCCAACAAATCACTGAAATCCAGTTTTTTTCCTTTCTCAATGACGTCATGATGCTTCCGGACAAAGAGCCAGCCGATATGGGAGAAAAAGAACCCCCGCTGGGCATTATGTGGGTCAGCATCCGTCTCGGAGTATTTGTGATGCACTCGGTGATCTCGAGCCCACTCAAAAATATCATTCTGCACAAAACAGAAGGAGGAAATTAAGTGTCACGGTATTGTGGATCTCTGAATTCCTGCTTGTCGTTGTTGTGTTTTTAAGCAACAGCATTGTCTATGGAGATTGGAGTGGTGTGGTGGCCTAGAGATGGAGCTCTCGCCTCACAATCAGGAGGCTGTGAGTTCGATCCTAGGTAGAGGCAGATATTTCTCTCTCTCTGGGCACATTGAGAATATATATCTGCTGAACAAAACTCCGTATTGGCGACAGGAAGGGCATCTGGCCATTAAAACACTCTGCTAGCTCCATTCAGTTGCCCAGACTCCACCCCTCAAGGGTTTATGGGGTCGTTAAATGAAGATGATGATTGTCTATGGAGATTCTCAGTCATCCAGGTCACAGTTGACCTGGAACTGGACTTCCTTTGTTTTTCCTTGAGGACATTTCACTTCTCATCCAAAAAGCTTCTTAACTTCTGAAGAATGAGAAGCAAACATCTTCAAAGAAAAATAAAGGAAGCCCATTTGCCTTTTGGAAAAGCACCTTTGGGACAAGCCACAGAGCAGAGTTTTTCTGCTCTGTCAGAAAAAACAACTGTTTATGTCAAGTACTATCAAATATAGCAGCTGGCTTAGTTTCCAAAGAAAATTTCCCTCTGGCTATTCTGTTGCTTCTACCTCCTCTGAGACTTCAGAAGTATTTTTACCTCACCCACCTGAGTTTCTAGAAAGAGAGCAGGTGGGCTTATTTTTAACATATAAATACTGTACCAGGTGCAGACATCTTTCACTCTATAGACTTTGCCATTTCCAATATTTCTCTGTTGTAGAGCCAAGAAACCAGCTGCTGGGTTTGTCTTCTAAGATTTACCTGGATAATAAAAACTGGAAAATAAATAATTTTGCAAACCAAGTTGCTGGTTGACCAGGGCCCTGTACAATCCCAAGTAATGCCTGCTCAGGATTAAACTGAATACACAATCCCTTTATTTATATACATTTTTTTTCTTCCTTTGCACCCATTTTCTCTCATTCACACACTACAATTACCATTTATAACAGGGGTGTCAAACTTGCAGCGTCACGTGTCATGATGTTTTCCCAACCGCAGAGCTGGGGTAGGCGTGGCCTGCACAAGATGCATCCAGCCCACAGGCTGCCAGTTGGACACCCTTGGACAATAGCAGAAGCTACCGATAAGCCTGATTCCAGCACAAGGGATATTTCAATTGTGGGCAATAGCATACCTGAAGAGCAGTATTACCTCTTCTCAGATCATAAGCCACCCCATCCTTTGTGTCTTTGCTCCTTATAGGATGGAAGCGTTAATGTACAGGTACTCCTCAACTTACAACCACAATTTGAGACTGGAATTTCTATTGCTAAACAAAGTGGTTGTTAAGTGAGCTGATGTAGGAGAAAGAGAGGCAGAGCCTGCGGGTGGAGTCAAGAAAGAAATTAGCCTGGAATCATTAGGTACTCACAAGTGGCCTAAGCCCAATCCCTCTTGAATTCCTCTGGCTCTTATCTGGTGCCAGTTTAGTTCTATTAGTTGACTAGATTCTTGTGTATAAGCATGAGCAATAAATGATAGATATATTATATATACTATTAATAAGTGAAGATCTAAACATGTTATTGTTATAGTGTAAGGGATATTATCTATATTAATAATAAGATAACAATGGAGAACTAATATCAACGTAATGAATATGGTAGTAATTTTGATTATTGTTGCACAAGATATCTGTACCCAGACGACACACCGTTAAATGGAAGATAAATTGTTTGTACTTATAAAAAAAATAAAAAACTCTTATTATTATTATTTTTAAAAAAAGCTTAAATGCAACCTAACATGTGCCCTTGATGATTCATGCCTGACAGTTGCACTTGATTTTACAATATTTTTTTTGCCACAGTTATTAATCTGAATTATTGCCATTGTTAAGTGAACCCCCGGTGTGACGGGCTGGGGAATTCTGAAAGTTGAACTCCAGAGGTCTTCAAATCGCCAAGGCTGGCTACTCCAGCCTATTGCTTAAGAAGAGTTCAGCAGATTTGTTGAATCCATTCCAAATACCCACCTGAAATGCCATTGAATTGGCTGCAGCCAAAAATATTCGCAGAGGCAGTCTGGCTTTGTAAGATCTGTGACTCCACAAGCGATGGGCACCCGCTGTCACACCCAGAGCGCACACCAGGAAACACATGTATGCTGAAAACATGACAGAAAAATGAAAGAAGATGGAGAGGTTAGGAAAGCACCAAACCAATGTGTGGTTATTATACTACAGCTCATACAGAGGTGGTATTCAGCAGGTTCTGAACAGTTCTGGAGAACCAGTAGTGGAAATTTTGAGTAGTTCGGAGAACCGGCAAATCCCATCTCTGACTAGTCCCGCCCCCATCTATTCTCTGCCTCCCGAGTCCCAGCTGATTGGCTGGGTCTTCTTTGGTTGCCCTGCACAGGAGAACGGAGCTGGAAAGCAGGTTAATGGGGTGGGGAGGGAATGGGGATTTTGCAGTATCCTTCCCCTGCCACGCCCACCAAGCCACGCCCACAGAACCGGTAGTCAAATGTTTTGAATCCCACCACTGAGCTCATACTATCAATGCCTCTATTGCCACAGCATGTAATCCTGTGCTGATATTTCTAATTTAAACCATCTAGCCTATTGGGTTGTCATAAAAGCTCCAAATTGCATAAAAACATAGAACCTGGCAACCACATCTCAAAGGGGTTGAAATTTAGACGGTTTCACCTCTCATTAGCCATGATTTCTTCTTCCGTTAGAAAATTCTCCATGCCTACCGTTTCTCCTCTAATGGAGGCAGCAAAAATGGGTACTTAAAGCAGGACTGTTTCCTGACTCAGCTAGAAATTTCCACCCACAACATGTTTCCTCTTTCTGAACAAGGAACACAATGCCGTGCTGGCAATTCACAATGCAACTATGTTTTCTGGAATAAAAATCTACCTTATAATATTATACAGGTGGTTCTCGACTTAGAACCACAACGGGGGGGCCCAAATTCCTGTTGGCAAATTCCTGAGTCAACTGAGTGGAGTTTTGTCCCATTTTTATGACTTGTCCTGCCCCAGTTGCTAAGTGAATCGCTTCAGTTGTGAAGTTAGTAAAACAGTTGTTAAGTGAATCTGGCTTCCCCACTGACTTTGCTTGTCAGCAAGAGAAACTTTGAGCTCGGTTGTGGTTGGAAGTTGAAGGACTATCTGTGTTTTCCCTGTTTCTTTGCATGTACTCTGTCAAGCAATCCTACGGCGTATCTGCTAACCCTTTCAAAGACGCATTCATTTTGACCCTGAGAAACAGCTGTCAAAGAAATAGGAGGGGACATTTCCCGGTATCGCAAATATCCAGCTAACCATGGTTCTGTACAGTGGCTTCCAGCTGCAATTCCATAAAACTGGTTGTCCCACGGAGCTAGACAAAGCATTAAAACAGCACTTCTCTTATGCATAACCTTTTGTTGCAAGTTTACTGTTTAAAATTCATTTTATTACCCATCAGGAGCAGATTAGTTTTAGTTTCACAGGCACACGAAAGGGCCATCATTCCTCCTAAAGTTTAACATATTCTAATGCTTTTTGAGTCCCCGGTAATTGTAAAGGATAGCCAGCTCAGAGACATTTTTTAATTCAACTATCTCCATCTGCAATTAGCTTTGGATTGGCAACCCAGCTGTACTGCATTAAACTGAAGTCATTTTGCTGTGTTGTTACACTGGGCTGATTTCAGGATCATGGAATTTTATTTCACATAAAGGACGAAAATGTCTCAAATAACTTTGTATAGGAGAAGGAAGACAGGAAAACAGAAACATTTTTCCTAATCCTTTTTGGGAGCCTGTTTTACTTTATTTTTTGTTTTTACAAAGCATATCAAAAGATTAGAGTGTTTTTTTTAAAGCAAACATCAAACAAATTGTTCCTCTGTTTGCAAAGATTCCTCTTGGGTATTTTCAAAGAAAACATGCTCTGAAAGTTTGTTCAGTGGAAGATGCTAGATTAAGCTAAGTAGTTCTGCAGACGTGCCATGATTTGACATTGGATTATCATCTGAGTTTTGAGGCTACAGTGCTTTCGTTTCAATGGGGCTGCTTTCAATCAAAACCAAAATAACACCTAATCGTATTAATTAATCGTATTAATTTTAAGTGGAAAAGAGATGAATATGGAAACTGGTTGCAGACAGACTGTTGTAAACAGCTGAGACTGGAATATTTGACCAATTTTGTTACATAAAGCAAATAAACAAACAAAAACCACGGAGATGATAGTTATAAAAAGAAAAGAAGAGTTGTTAATATTTATAATATTTAATATTTATATAGGTTGGCTGCTTGTTCTCTAGGCAGTTTACAGGGGGAAAAATTAAAGTCATTTAAGATGGCTTTAGAATAAATCTTGTTCGGAGTTACATCTATTAAAATCAGTTAAGATTTATCAGTGATGATTTAACGTCAATTCAAAGTCCACAATGTAGTTCCTTTGGTCTTCTATAATGCAATGTGTGAACTCAGCTATCTGGATTTGTAGGGTGGTTTGTAGTGTGTAAACTTCAGCACGTCGTGTGAGTGCCAACACTTTTGCTTGCTTAACAAATTGTAATTTAAACAAAACATTCTTGTGATGAGTGCATCTTGCTATGATTCAGCCTGGATTCGAATTAATTGTATGATGCAGCGAAGCGATATTAAGAGGGACGGTTGACAAACATCACAAAAAACCCAAGGATCCTTGTTTAGTCATGAAAGATTTAAAAGCTTTTGAAAGAATTACAGAGTTTTCAGCTGCAAGGAGAAACTAAAATAAAGGCTGAATAATACTGCTTGACATCTGCCGAGTTTTGCTCTTTAAATTCCAGGCACAACATTTGCTTTGGAAGAATAAAATGGAGGAGTCTAGAAATAAGGTTTTTTCAAAGAAAATTTGGGACCTATCCACAATCAGGCCATAGGTATTCTGTGAGGAGAACGGTGTAGCTGAGGAGAGAAAGTAATAATAATGAACACTTTGATATCAATTATCCTCTAAGATTGGTTTTCAGAGGCTTCCTTGCTCACTGATATTGTACATGGAAGATCCTACATCTATGGCTGTGATGTGCTAAATCTCTCTTCTGCCCATACAAAGCCAATCAAGTTCTGTTCTGGTTGAGTGACACTTCTTGGTTTCCCTTCCTCTACATCAGAAATGTCAAATTCAAGGCCTGCGGGCCAGATGCGGCCTGCAAGGTACAGTGTTTCCCCAAAAATAAGACCGTGTCTCTCATATATATATATTACATATGTTATGAATCAATAAAGTAACTAGCATAAAATGCAAAGTAGGGTTTGAAGGCCTGCACACCTGATTGGTCCTCAAACAACGAACAGGGATTGGTCAGGATGAGGCCACTCCTTATTGGTTATTATTTGAACTTATCACAAAGGTTATTGGGTAATAGGGTAGCAGCCAACCCTATAAAAGGGTTACTGCTGCCCATAGAGTTGCTCTGTTCTATTCCTATTCCTGTTATTATTAAAGAGTTGAAGTCACTGGTCAGATGTCTGGTCTCCTTATTCTTCAAACTTAACACTGGCGACGAGGGTGGGATGCGGAGACCGAAGAGCTGACTGATCTACAGAGCAACCAACAGAGCACGTGGTCGAACACGCACTATCAACGGCAATCATGGCCAGCGGTGCCGTACCACCCGCTCCATTCAACCCAGAAACCGAAGACTGGGAGTCATACATGGATATATTTGTTTTCTTAAGTTTTTTTCTTAAGTATATATATGTATGTATGTATGTATGTGTGTATGTGTTTGTGTATGTATATGTATATGTATATGTATATGTATATGTATATGTATATTTGCCATCAAAAAGGCAACAGGTGTTCTGACCCAAACTTTGTTCCAAGGAAACAAACATGAAATGAAGGTAACAGCAAAACCTTTTAATGATTCTTTACGAATTCCATTCCTCCCTGGTTAAAAGGATGTTTCAAACTAATTGTCTCTGATAAGAAGGAGCCTTGCCAAGGTTGTGCAAGGCTGCCAAGAACACTAAAGATGCCAAGAAATATTTCAAACACAAAAAGTCTCCAAACACAAACTAAGAGAGTCCGAAAGTCCACAAGGCTTGAGTGCAAAAATGTCTTTGCTTCCTGCAAAGAACTCCGGTTTCTCAGCTGGCTTTTATGTCTTGAGGGAGGGGCCATTACCTTGCAGCCTTACTCCCGAGTCACCCGTGTTGCTGCAGCTGTTCTTTCCTTTGAGAAGCCCTGCGCACACGCGCACTGGGCACAGGCTCCTTGGGGACCTCTTCATCACTGCTGGCAGCCTCCACAATCTCCGAAGGCAGCCTTCCACTCCCTGATGGTCCTGGCCCCATCGCTGCATCACCCGCAGGCCCTTCATCTGAGTCCTCGCTCTCCGAGACCTCAGCCGTCCACACCTGCTGCCGGCGAACCACAGCACTAGGTCTTATTTTGGGGGGATGTCATCCACTGACTACTCTCACTTATGCATATCACCCAGGGTTCCTGAAGGCCTCCGCAGCCTATAACAGGATCGGTCGGAATATTCCCAAACTCACAGTTTCCATTTTGAAAAAAAAAATCGTGCTAAAACAACTCTTTTGATTCCTCAGTTTTGGGCGGTTTCCCCAAAAAGATTGAGAAGTTGGGTTGTCAACCCTGACCCTACAAATATTGGATTTTCTCATTTTAAATGCATACTCATTTTCATTCTGATGGGCCAAATGCATACTCGTTTTCATTCTGGTGGGCCAAAGAGATTAATCTGCAATGTGCTTGATACAGTTTTAAATGCTTTAAAAAGAAAGAAAGTACTGTAGCTTCTTAGCAAAGGTTTGCTAAAAGTTGCATCAATTAGCAGTTCCCAGGGACTGTCAAAGATCAAACTTAACCTAGTTATAAAAGGAACAAACAGCAATGAACTCAAAAGAGAGAGAGAGAGAAAGATAAAAATAGGAGGGATGAAATGAATCAGTGATGTACTTCTGACAAGTTGAGGATTTGAAAAGGACACCAGTTTATCTGTGGGCTTGTTAAGCCCTACGGTATATCAGTTGCCCTGACAACGAGCAAATGAGGATTTTCTTAATCCTACAGAGGTTTCCACAGTGGGTAATTTAAAAAAAAAGAGTCAAAATGGGAGCCACAAGATAGAAGTTTTGATTGGA